GTGGTGGATTCTATGCTACTGAAAGACTGCCTGTGCTCCCAGGTTGATCCTTCCATAGTCAACGATAGAAGCTTGCAGGTCACTTTGTATCATCCTTGCCCCCACAAAGCAGCTACTATATTTTCAGAATCCAGACAATAAAATCAGTTTGGTCTTCTCCTGATTACACTCTGGCAAATGAAGGGATCTTTCTGGAACTTTGAGGTGAGATTTCCAAGGAAGAGCTTTTTTAAGAGTAACAGGTTTTTTGGGAGGGTGTTGGGGAGCAAGGCATTGAACATTATAATGGAATACCTTGGCAGCTATCAGAGGAAAGTTGAAGGGAAGGAAGACTAGTATGTCTCTGATATGCCTGACACCTGATTTGTGGTGACTAGAATATATACTAACCTCTAAGGAATGTTTTAAGCTAACAACACATTCAGGCTTTCTGGGAACACAGAGAATTGATGAATGCATAATAAACAACCCATTTTTCCCTTTTTTTAAAAGCTCCTTTAAACAGCAATCTCCAGTTTCAGCACTTGATTTAGCAAGTATAATTTACTCATTTAGTGAAAGTCACTAGAGAATATTTTGGATTTCTCGGTTCAATATTTTCCCATTTTCCCCCTTGTGAAATTTAAGCACCAGATATCGCCTTTTATTTTCTGATGATCAGAATATATTCAGCTAATGTACTGCAATTTCTTGCAATTTTGATATCACCAATATAGACTTAGTGTAGTCATTAGCTGACAATCAGAAAAGGGAAACACACAGTGGAATTAAGACCTGCTTTGCATTTTAACTCAACCATAAAAGCACTAGAAGCTATCAAAAGAAAAGAAGATGGCAATGTAATCTATTTCTATAACTACCCTTTAAATATGTAACATTAAATTACCTCTCTAACCCATATATAATAGCTTATCACATCTGAAGCAATTTTCTTATTTACTTTATGTACTGCAGAGTTACATTTGGACTGCACAACTGTTTCAGGTTTTAGATTCTTTTTGATTGTGAACAATAGCATTACCAACCAATTTACTGTTCCTTTAATTAACTACAATTTACCTTCCTTCCTCTCATCTGACAATACTTCTGCCCTTTTTGGATTTCAGCCTCAGCTTCTTGTTCGTAAGAAGGTACAACTGATTTGCCACTCAGCCTTGTTTTTGTTTGGTATTCATCTTTTTCCTCTTCCTCAAATTGCATTGCTACTTATCCCAGAAGATGCATTTATATATTTGCAGTGAATATGTTTATCTTTAGGGGTAATTAGCAATGCAACTTGAATGACAAGTATACAGTGTGGCAGTGATGTTGGCTAGACAGCTGTCTCATTGATATATGGCAAGTTTATAATCAACTGAAAACAGGGTTTTATAATGAGATTTGTTGGGGATTATCTGTGTGTCAAAACCTGTTTGCCATACTCAGTTGCTTAGAATTCTCCACATGAGTAAAACATCGGGATTTGACCTTTGAGTCCAATCCTCTTCCTATATATTCTAACATTGACTAAACCTGCTCCCAAAGAGAGGTTATTCTGTGCTAAAGCTAGTCTGGGTCTGCCTATATAGCATGCTATCCTCTTTTTCTAGCCTTTGGTTTATTTAACTACAGTATTATGATCTTAGCAAAACATCTTCTCTAGCTTGCTTTTATGCTTTTATAACTTTAATTTTCTGAAATTCTTTCTTTAAGTGATTTGATCACTCAGATTTTGAGTGCTTCACACACCACATGCACATTTGTAAAAGTCTGCATCCTCTCACTCCCCACACAGAAAAACACAAGAGCCTCTATTGGAATATTTACAACACTCTTTTCTCCATTATTGTAGCCCATTCACTTACAGCCTGCATGCCTATTTAAAAGTCCCTAACCCTGTCTCAGATTCACGCGGCAGATCCCTGTACCTTCGCAGAACCTTACTGCTTTCCATGCAGGAGCAGTGCATCTATTGCTACTGCTCTCATTACTACCTTGAGGTCCATATGGGGAAAACCTGAAATATTTTTAAGTTAGTCAGCATTTAGGACCACATTATTTTTCAGATGTTAGTGGTTGTCTTGTAAGTATCAAATACACTTAAGAAAAAACAAAGATAAATTAATCTTAATACATATCACAGTAGTCATTATACATAAAGCAGAATTGTATATGAATTTTTTTTGTCTCCAAAGAAGAAGTGTCCATAAAAGCTGCAAGCTAACTTTTTTTTTTAAGGAAAAAATTGCACATCCTAAAAGTACTGAAAAGGGCAGCATCCTCATTAGGATATCGTTGCAGAGCAATCTCTATTGGAATTGTAGAAGTAGTGTTGTACTCCAAAAATCTACTTAGTGTTTCCAAAAGTCTGTTCTCTATAGCTTAAATACCTGCCCCTCTAGTCCATATTCCAGATATATTTTGTCTATGCTAACAGTGTAGTATTTTTGAAAACAGCTTGCATATATACTTACCAAGATCATTTATTTGCTGTGAGATACTCTGGATATGCCTGCCAGTATCAGTATTGAATATACAGTTGATACATACATCTCTACATGCATCTGTATGAAGCAGGAGGCTTAGTTCAACTAATCAGAGGTGCACGGCCAGCAAGTGCTCGATGCTTTTTCATTGGAAATTGGCCTGAGGTCACTGACTTGACTTCTTTTCAGAGGCCATCAAGCAGCTCTCTGATTGTTCAATAGTTGTTTAGGCCAGGATGTCACTACCCTTTTTCATGCTGAATAATCTAGTTTTGAATACACTACTGTTAGATCATAAAAATAAAAGGGATTATTTGCAGAGTAAGGTGTGCTGCTTCGTGTGAATAGGCATGGTAGATACTCTTCCGTTAACAACTTTGGATCTCTTTTCATTCCGGCCAGTGACCAGACTGTGAAAAGGGTTATATCAGATGATAAATCCTTCATCAACTATCGTTAAAAATGATCATAGATAAAATCTTGATATTGATCCTATAGCATTCTAGCCTTAATATCCCTGATGAAACTTAGCAAATTATTGCACTAAATAATTCACCTTCCTCCATTTAGAGACTACCTCACAGTCATGTTTGTGGTGAGGTCCAAACTACAAGAGAAACAGAAGCTTAAATGAGATGCATGAGACAGAACTAGTTTATCAGATACTGCAATTAA